GATGGGATCCGTTGTCGGTGAAGCGATGGTTGTTGATTGGATTCTTCAGTCACTTCCTAACTCGTATAGTGAGTTCGTAAGAGAGTACTATATGATGAGCTACGACGTGACCCTTATAGATCTCACCTATATGCTTATTGCTGCTAAATCAGCAATGGTTTGGCGCAATATAAAAGCAAAGTTGATTGGTGAATCTGCCTTCAAGACCTCTATGGATATAGACAATGGCAATGAAAGACATGCAATGATCGAAAAGTTTGATCATAAGAAAAAGGCGATGTCTGAAGTAGTTCCATGTGTTGTTCCAAAAGAGTCAATTTGCTTTTATTGCCAAGAGAAGGGGCATTGGAGACGAAGTTGCCCTATTTACCTAAGAGATCTAAGAGATGGGAGAGTCAAAAGTATGACTACGCTTTAGGTAAGAATCCACTATCTAACTCCATTAAGTTCCTATTCATTGATTCTTAATACATGATGTGATAAGATTGCATTTGAATGTTTTGAAGGATCGGTAAAAAGAAAGGAAGCTTGATAAGAGAGCAAGATGAATCTAATCACAAGAGATGGATCTTGATTGCATGGACTTGAAGATTGGATTTTGAGCTTAGATAGTTATGATAGAGTTGTTAGAAATTTTCTTTTTTACATAGTTTTCAATAGATTTTGCATTGTAAGGACAAATGATTTTCCGTTGCTTTTATAAATAAAACAAATTTTGACTTACTTATTTGTTTGTTTATTTCCTTGCAATGAAATCGTTATGAAAATTGATGTTTGAATATTTCTACAACGAATGGATATGATTCTTAGTTATGTTATTTATGGAAACATCGAGAATTTACCAAATAGGGAGAGTTTCTCATCGCCCAAAGTTTCAATTGGACAGAAATTTGGAATCACGCAACTTGGTTGCATGATGAATGAGAAATTTCGTATTTGGAAATTAGACTAATTCATTGACAAAGTGTCAAGTGAAGGATTAGGAGATCGAGTACACAAAGTTGTGTGTTGATCAAGTTCACCGTAAGAGTAACAAATATATTCGTCATGATTTACTAAAGGCTTAGTAAATATGATTACACTTACAAGATTAAGTGTAATTTTGAATTGATTAAAGGGTTTAGATCAATAGCAAAACGAATAAGAAGAATCAAGTAGGCAGAAAGATAAGAGTTTCTCCATTCTAAGAAGAAGGGAGAGTAGCTTTTATGCTTTATGATAGGTCTTAATGATTTAGAACCATATCTCAATTGATCCTCTAAGTGAGTCTTAGTACAATTGTATGTTTAAGAAGAGGAATCAAGGATTGAAGAAATGGTTAAATCAAGAAGTCTATCATACTTCGTTCCAATAACAAGTCTTAAAGTTAAGATTGTGACAATGAGTGAAAAGTATTAAAGGTTTATAACATTCATCAAATGTGGAAAGTTGTGATGTCTTGAATAAGACAAAGACCAACTTAGACCAAAATTATGAAGTGTTTTGTTTTGATAAAAGCTACACTAACTCTTGAATGTTTGTTTGTCAAGAAATGTTTATTGACAAAAGAATCTTATATGTCAAGGAGTCAGTGGGAGTCTTAATGGTCTTGAAAGGTTTCAAGAACAAATCAAATAAGCCTTATCGATCATCACTAGCACACGAGTTGAGGTTTACAACCTATCGTGAAGACATTATTTTTCTGTGCCAATCCAATCGAGTTAATTATGCATGTGAGTCCTATGAGTTCTCATTTGAATGCATAAAAGGCAAGGACCTTGATCAATGGAAAGTACATTGATAGGAAAAGGTGAGCTACTTAACTACTTGGAAGACGTGGTAGGCAGTTGTGCTACCATAAGGCAAGAAATCAAGATTAAGAAAGTTCGATCCATATGAGTTTGAATTTGTCGTAAACTTTGGTTTTTAACAAATTCACATGGATAGGAACACATACACCGTTTAAATCTAAGTGTCATTAGATTTCCTCCTTCATGAAAATGATTGTGAGGAAATGCTTTCACTAAGAAAGATTTTAAAAGATAGTGATTGTAAAAATTGCATTCTCGAATTCGATCATGGTTACGGCATCCCTTTCCACAATTTAAATTGTGAGGTTTGGCAATTAGTCTTAATTGTTAAGACACACATATGAACTATCTAAGGCAAAAGTGTATAAGTTCAAGAAGCCCTGATAAAAGATTATCAAAGCACTAAGTATTAGAAACATGGACTTAAGAAATTCAATAGGTATTGTTTTTCTGAAAGTTAAGATGTTTATGAATACATGTCAAAGCTAGTGGGAGCATAAGTGTTATGTTTTATAATAATCATCATGATAGTGGGAGCATAAATGTTATGATTGTATGATTATTAAGGCACGTATTGCATAGTTGGCAATATTAATTATAGAAAACAAGAGTCATACTTTGCAAAGTTGTAAGAGTTGAAAGGTTGTTTTGCTATAATTAAGGGAGAGAATATTATGCTTCATTTCAAATCTAAAGGATTAGGTTGTGGAATGTTAATAAATTTAGTCAAAGGTACATAGTGTGTTCTTAAATTTTCGATTATGATTACGGAATTCCTCTTCACAATTCGAATTTTGAGAACATAGAAAATAAAACATTGTGCGTCGTGTCCCATATGCTTCGAGTATAGGATCGATTGCAAATGATTTAATGTTTGACCATTCTAAAATTTTCCAAATGTCTAGTGCATTTAGAGGGAAAAGGGACTAGAATTGGTTTTGACTAAAATAATTAAACAACTATCAAAGGACAATCCAAAGTTCGACGAGGATTGGTCGCTTGTGAGTAGTTGGAAGTATAGTATTGGAAATTATGGAAATGTTTCCATATTGAATGGACAATATCGACCTAATTACGAATAGATAAGATTCTATTAAGAATGAGTTGTCATATGGAAAATATGGAAGCGTGTCCATATTGGGAAGTAAATATTGAAAATCTATGTCTAGATTAGAAACTTTTATGCAAAAGGATGTTCAAAGGAATGTACTTTGAGAGAGAGACATCATATCTAAGGAATTGTCTTGTAACAATCTACGTTAGAGGAATTTGTAATATCATTGGCAATAGTCTTTGAGACTTTGGTGCAGTGACATTACAAAAGGATCGTTGCATAAAGTGTTAGAATCTAGTATATTCTATAAGTAACAAGAATTTGATATTCTTACACTTAAGAAAAAGGATTTGGAGTTGTGAAATGAGAATGATCGGAAATGTGTTCAATTTGTCTATTTCACAAAAGTAAGAACGATAGGTAAACATTGTGTGCATGCTAGGAGCATGGGACAAGTGTAATAATTCAAGTAAAAAGTTGATTACCCGAAACGACAAATAATGAGTAATCGATATGGTGATAAATAAAACGTGTTTTGTTTATACTCAAAGGTTTGAGGCCATATGGGATTAGTATTATTCTTGTGTTTCACCTTGCATGTTTTGACTTCCAGAATAATTGAGTTTATTAAGAATAATCGAATTATTCAAACGGGCCACAGTCGTTCATATGTTGGAAGTAGATATGAATGAAGATTGTCATGAATTGGTGTGTGGATTGTCTAGAAGAGTATTAGACATAAGCAAATGTTTGCTGCAATGTTCATGAGTGCTTATGAATATGATTTGAGCATTGGATTAAACCCACGCTCACTTGGATCACTCCAAGAATTGTATTACGAGTGATTGGTGAGACGATAACATCTTATATTCTTGAAACCGAGATGTGTGAGTTGTATCTTGCTAATCGGTTGCACATTGATAATTTGTAAACGCACTAGTAACTTGGTGTTATAAAACATATTGTTGTGTGTGATTTGGTTGGTGAGTGCAAGCAAGCATTGTATCAAAGTTTATCCATTCCTTTTATCCAAAGTAGGATAGAAGCGATATCTTTTGGGCCCCTCGATGGTTTAGCGATATCTTTTGGGCCCCTCGTAAATGCTCGGCCGGGCTAGGGCTAATTTGATTTGTTCAATTAGTCTGTCGTCATAAATCAGAAATCGAGAAGTAGTACAAAGAGAATGATTAGAAATCATATCTCGGACGATATCAAGAATGGAGGAATATATGATCCCTTATCTAAGGACACGCGTATCTGATAGGATCAGAGTTGACAGTGGCTTTGGAAAGCTACGATTGCAGATCGGGATCTAAAGTCATACGCAGAATAGTTGTTAGACTTATCCAAGTGGGAGACTGTTGGATTAGTGTCTAAGTCCATAACTATTTTGGTATGTACTTGACCCGATGGTGCATGGTCCTTTTGGGTTGCCTTCACCAAAGCAACTTGATAGAATGAATTATGGAGAGAAAGGATTAAATATGATTTATTAATATATTATGGGAATAATATATTAAAGGAGAAATCATATTGTTTAATTAATATTAGTCAATAATTAATTGGTAATTAGTTTTGTGACTAAAAGAGATTAATTAAATTTAAGGGACTGGAATTGTAATTATAAGATAATTGCAATTTGGGCCATGGATTGCCTTGTATTAAGGGATGGACGAATTCTAATGGGAACCCCATAAGGAAATCGCCCATGGGCTTAATAAAAGGAGTCTATGGGTTGCTTAGGGCTTAAGCATCCAAATTAGGGTTTCCTTGTTAGATAACCCTAATAGCCCAACTATATAAAGACCCCTTAAGGCTCAAAAACGTGGCTAATGTTCTTGTAAGGGTTTACACACGTTTTTGGCAGCCTCCAACCTCTCTCCTCTTCATCCTCTTGCTTATGGTGTTTGTGAGCCATTAGAGGAGTGACACTTGTGACTCTAAGCATTCCAAAGTCAATCCAAGGTGGAGTTGTGATTGTTATTGCTATATAACAATCAAGGTATGTTCTTAAACCTAATTATATGTTAATATGATTACTTGTATGCTAGAATTAGGTTTTATAGTCTTGGATTCAAAGCATGTACAATAGAGAAACCTAGATCCAAGCATTAGGGTTGGTATGAGCACATAGGATGTCTTATGACCAAAACCCATCACTTAGTAACCAAGAAATTGGTCAAATTTACACAATATGTCATTGGAGAGTTGAAAAGCATGTACCACACAATGTTGATATCTTTTCTTGCAGGTGCAATATCACTACAGCTACTGGCACCATGTATAACAGAAGGTTCATTGAATTCAGTTTCTCCCTACATCAATCAATCAATTACATTCTTAGTCTGGAATGGAGTTGGAATCTAAAATGAAATGGAATTCTGTAAAAGAAGCAAAGAGGAAGATGATGATATATAGGAGTGAATTACCCTTCAGAGGACAACAATCTTTAGCTTGGTGCAGCACTTTCTTCACCTTCTGGTCCCTACACCAATTATGAAATTCTTTTTATAGGAAAATAATCCATCATTCATTCATGTGTTGATATGTACATTGTACAAAACAAACCTTTGATGACTCGGCATTTGTCTCAAGCTTTAAAGTATCTTTCACACCATAATAACCCTCTTGAAAGATGCTCAATCCATGTGACAAGCTACAAAAAAAAAAGAAAAAAAAAGTAAAGCTTCTTCATAGTTTATTTTCTAGTAGCAATAATAATATTTATAATTTACCTGTGCCAAGTAAGACGGACCCCACAAACACATAACTTATACAGTGTCCAAGATACCTATGTAGATAAAGAATACTCAAAACTTGAAGAAACAAAGGTAAAAGGTGTGTGTATGTATAAAGATTAGAGGAATAGAAAATTAGAAAAATACCAGTAATGAACTCTAAAGCATATCTGGAAGACGCGAGAAGCACCAACAACAAACAGAGCAATGACACGGCTTTGAAGAAGCTCAAACCCTCAAACCCATATAAACAGGCACCCATGTTCCAATCTGGGAAACTAACATTAAATACAGTGTATAGCCTTTTAATTTTTCAATCATGATGTTAACAACATACACCTTATTCAATTCTACTTGAAAATACAGAGTTAAACTCTTCACTCGCACATAATGGCTATCTAGTTAGTGGGTGTGGATGGAGGTTTCTATTCAAGCATGTCTGGGGTAATTAGGAGATACTCAATACTATGCTAGCACTAAGTGTTTTGGTGAATCTTGTCTGCCCTCCAACATCAATCGGTATGAAGCCAACTATGCCAGGAACAATGAATGTTACAGGTGGCATATACCTTCCGGATTTTATCCATTTCACTCATCAAGACTTTGCTAAACTATCTCTCACTCAAACCATCCCTGTGGTAATACAACAATGAGAAACTTTCTACAAGTTTTAGCAGGAAAAAGTAGAAAGTGGTATGATTGATACCTGTAGAATATGATCCTATGTGGTTTATAACCAGTTGGTTTTTTAAAGGAAATCAAAAGTTCTCTAATAATAAAAGCAATTAAACTGATTCATAAAGGTTTTTACCCGAGGAAGACGAACATATAACCACATGTTGAAGTCAATCATACTACAAAAAAGCAAAAAAAAAAAAAAAGTGAGTAATGTATAGGGACAGGATGGTATTTTTAACCCTTTTAACATCCTTTAAAAAGTTAGACAATTTATGTATATAAAAGTTTTTATTGTAATTAATAACCGTCAAGGAACCAAACCTTCGTTTCATTTTCCAAAATTTCTTTTATTGGATGATTTGCAGCTGCCAAAGAAAGATTCTGTAATTTCAACATACAAAAAACACAACTGTTAGTAACAAAACACACACACACACACACACACACACACACATATATATATATATATATATATATATATATATATAGAGAGAGAGAGAGAGAAAGAAAGACAATAATAACCTTCAAGTCACTCCCCGAGTAGTCATCTGCCATTTTCCACCGTTTCAAGATCAATATCTGATACTAATTCTTCTTTTGTTATTATATGACTCTTAAAATCTTCTCTTGATTTGGGGAATCCAGTAAATTGACCATCAACATGCACACCAAGTAACAACATATTTTATATTGAGCATCCATATCTGCCAATTACCCATAATGCCCTTTTCCATAATAGAAAATGATTACCCTTACCTCCTGGGTTGTCTCCTGATTACAGGCTCAACAATATCAAAGGGTCTATTACTGGGCAGACTGAAAACGACCTTCATATACTTCTCCCCTAATACCAAAACAGGTTTGGATCCACATCTAAGTTTGGGTATCACAAAAAAGTTAACTCACCATTAAGTTTATATATACCCACACAAAATCATCATCAAAATTACCTCCTCAACAAATATTGTTCTTTTATACTTGATATAGTCCATTGACTAATTTGAAATTTAAAGACTTCTTAAATCCATTACCCTGACAATGATTAAAAAGGTAAGGATCAAATTTTGAATCTAGGTAAGATAAATAAGAATAATCTCAATCCGGCATTACATCGAACACATTATGTGCAATTATAAACCACAAAAATTAAATTATGTGAAAACCTTTTTCTTAAATGAAAATGTAATATGTAAAAATTGTGAAGCATCCAAAACACAATCAAATAATGAAATTATTGCATCAATCTTGATAGTTAACATACCTTTGCAGCAAAGTTTCCTCCATAAACTCTCACGAATCCTTTCAACCTTAGTAAGGGAGAAATATGAAGATTCACTTGTCTAACAATGAAATAATTTACATTGAAGAGTTATTTTAACTGGATCATGGGTAAATCTATCTTTAAGCTATTGTATTCCTTATTTTTTGTAATTTCCTACACCTAGAGTGAAAAAAAAAAAATGAATAAATGTTTCTAACACTACAATAATAAACTATTAAGCCAAATAATAAAAGCATATATTCTAAAATAAAATATTTGTGACTTGTTAGGTAAAATTTTCAATCGTTATTTGATTATATGGTTTATTTGTCAAAGCATCCTACAATAGACTTTATACTCTAGTGTTGTTAATATTTAAAGGTTAATTTTCTTTCACAGAAAGTGAGTAAATTACCATATTACCCGCTTTAGGAATATGATAGACATGGGAGGTCTTGGTCAACAATTAGATTACTTGGTCATTTTTCTATGATCATTTTTATGGTAATGACCAATTACGTGACTTTATTAACAGATCCTATAACTTCATTATGAGCTGAATAAACATATTTAAGATGATATCATCATTAATTTATTGTGTTTGGAAAGTACAATGATAGAGGCCTGACTCGTTTAAAGCATAAAAGAAGAGTCAAAAAGCGTTCCTGAATATCTCCTACAGTTGAAAGTTGTAACATAACAAAAAGCTCTAGAATTCTAGAGATGATTGGAATTGATTACGTGTGTAAGATTATTGTTCATATCGGTTTTTAAATTGAAAACTTCCAAATTTCAAATGCATCACTATTGAAAGAGATTTTCTGAAATATGTGGTCAAACATTTTTAGCTGTTCAACAAATTATAATCCTCTAAAAAACGCCAAAGATTTTGATTTTCAATTACATTATGAAAAAGGTTAAGGAAATCAAAAACAAGACTGTCAAAAGTCAAAACTCCACTTCACTATAATCAACTGAGCATTTAGGCGCACATTGAGAAGCTTTTCATTGTGGCCAATTAGTGGAAAAGGAACTAAAATCGATATCAATAAGAATATTTCACACTTTATAAGTCATAGCACGAGTCCGTAATCATACAAATCAAGTGAACAAACAAAAATAAAAACTGGAGAGACTCATGTGTAAACGTAGGTAAAGTTGTAAACAGATTGGTATAATGGTTTACATAAGTAGTAGTAAACACAAAGGTTAAAGAAACAAAACTATAGAATCCAAATAATTAAAAATTAAAAATAGATAATCTAAAGTTAAGATGTAAAACCAACACATATCATAAACTTTAATGATGTTCTTACTCGAATGAGAATGAGGAGTTACTCCGAGAGTTAGGGTTCCAGAAGATAATTTCAATTCACATGGTGATTGAATTGATGAAGAATTTAGAGAGAAACCCTTGTAGAACCCTAAGAAATTATGTCGACGATGGAGAGAGAAAGTGAATGATGGGGCTTTTGAAAATTACAGACGGAGAAAGAATCTTCGTGGAATTATTTGGTGAGAAGTGGAGGTTTGAAAAACTATTGATGAGATTTGAATGTCTGATAAAGCTTCCATGAGAATGTTTCGTGAGTCGATTTAGGCTCAGATTACCATTCAGATAGGTGGGAATATAAGATCTTTGCCTGACCATCTCGACTAAAAGATGCACCCTCAGATTACGACTTCTCTTCATAACTTCTTCAAGGGTTAACCATCACACGCTTCAGCAATATTCAACAAGGAAATGATGAAGAATTAGTTGTATGGCGAGGAGGAAGAGCGGATATCGTTGTTTTTCCTAAACACAACGATATAAAAGCCCTAGTTCATGGGTGCACACTTTTGAGGTCCAGAGCATAAAATCCCTAGTTCTTCTTTGATATCGGGGACTTATTCTAAGATACGAGCTTGGTTGCGTTATTCCTTTAGGATAAACAAAAGGGATTCGGTAGTGTTGGAGGCGTATTAGGGTTTACAGAGAAAAGGAGAAGGAGAGAGTGAAGGTTGTCGGCTGGTGGCATGCCTACTTATCGACGCCGACGACCGGGAATGGCAAGTAACGATGGTCGAAGTATGAGGGAAGAAGTAGGCGGCACGGGAGGGGGGAAGGAAGGAGCGTCGATAATTAGGGCAAGAGGGAAGGAGAAAAAAGAATGTAGGGTTTTTAATTTTTTAGGATTTCATTTTCCCCCTGTTATTAAAGGGTGGAATGCGCGTTCCAATTAAATTTATAAAGCGACATCCTTAGACGACACGCATTTTATTATAGGTGTCCTCCGTGTTTTTTTTTGGACACTAATTTAAGGGCACGCAATAATGCGTGACCTAAATCCTTCAATTTTTTGAAGAGATGACTCTTTTTAAATGTCACTCTCTTTTGCGTAACATAAATCAATGAGTGTCGTCGTTTGCGAGTCGTAAAAGGGTCTTTTTCTTGTAGTGAATCCAATACAGTATCAAAACCTATGAACATAAATAAAACACCTCTTATTTATCACCATATGATTACACATTATTCATTGTATACTGTTTCTGCTATCAACTTTATTCTTGAATTTCAAACAATAGTTGTCCCATGCTCCAAGCATGTAAACTATGTTTTCTAAACACTAGTCATGCCATACACCAAGTATGCATACTATGTTTGTCTATGATCTTTACTTTGTGAAACAGATCAATTGAACATAACTCCAATGATCCTCTTTTCACAGTCCCAAATCCTTACTGCAAATGCAAGAATTCCAAATTCATGCCATTTACTGAAATCTGTTAGATTCTAAACTTATATGCATTGATCCTCTTGTAATGATTATGCACAAAGTCAGAAAGACTTGACAACAACCATTACAGAGCATTCCAAAGGAGATCAGCTCCTTGGAAACATCCTTCTTGCATTAAGTTTCCTAATCTTACACAGATTGAATAATTTCTAACTTTGAAACATTTCCAAATTCCATTTTGACTATCACTTCTGAATTATCACTATACTTCTAACTGTCCTTGAGCAACCAATCTTTGGTAAACCTTAGATTGTCTTCGACAATTGTTTAATCCTTTTAGTCATATCCAATTCTAGACATTTCCCTTCTTAATGCCCCAGGCATTTGGAAAATTTTAGAAAGGATGAATATAGCACATGTAATCGATCCTATACCCGAAGCATATGGGACACGATTCATGATGTCTCGCATAAAGACTTAACCAGTCTTTTGCTATAACATTTCCATTTCTATTTGCCAAGTTCTCATAATTAAGATTATGAAAAGGGATGTTGTAATCATAATCGAATTTTAGAACGCAAATAATGGACCCATATACAGAATTTACTTATGTTGTGCCATTCCAACATGAAATTCAAATATATATATATATATATATAATATATATATATATATATATATATATATAATAATATATATATATATATATCCTTGACTAAATACGATTAAAACCTCAATCTAAGCTTTTAGATTTGATATGAAGTATAATTTCCTCTCCCTTAATTATACCAAAACAACTCTTTCCCAATTGAAACTTTTTATTTTCTATAATTAACATTGCTAACTTGCAACCTTAATCATAATTATCATGGTCCCACTAACATGATGATTATTAGCATAACACTTATGCTCCCACTAGCTTTGAGATGTACTCAAAAATCAGTTGGACTTCTATAAATCAATACTTTATTGACTTTCTTACCAAAAGTTTAGATTTCTGATACTAGATTGCTTTGATAAAACTTTATCATAATCATACACCTTATCATAGATAGCTCATAGGTGTGTCTAAAAAATTTTAAGAACTATGAAAAGGGATGTCGTATCATAGTCTTGATTGTTTAGACCTTTGCCACTTCTCACAAGTCCATGTTAGTGTGCCGATAAACCACACACGCTCCACTAACGACTTTGAGAATGCAAATATCACAATTTCTATCTAGCTAAAATCTACTTAGTCAAACTGTTTCCTCACCATCATTTTCATGAATCGGAGAGAAACCTTATGACACTTAGATTTAATGGTGTATGTGTTCTTATCCATATGAATTGTTAAAACCATAGTCACAAGACAAGGATAATAACAAATCCAAACTCATATGGACTGAACTCAATCTTAATTTCTTGCCATCTGGTAGCTCAAGGGCCTGTCATTGCTTCTAAGTTGTTTTGCAACCAATTGATAACTCTAAGAACTCATATGCAAAGCCAACTTTAATTGGAATGGGCACAGAATATGTCAACATGATAGGTTATGAACCTCAAATTGTGTGCTAGTGAAGAACTTCAGGTTTTTTATTCTTGATTAGCTCTTGAGACTTTCAAGACCTTTAAGACTCCCACTGTCCTCTTGACATATAAGACTCTCTTGTCAGATATTCAAGAGATAGTGTGGTTTCTAATCAAGACAAAAACTTCACATAATTGGCCTTAGTTGGTCTTTGTTTTATCCAAAACATCACAACTTACCAATTTCAAATGTACAAGAGTAGAAAACTTTTACTCTTACATTTGAAGAGTGTTTTAAACCTTCTTTAAGACATGTCACTCAATTTACAATCTTAGAGTATGAATCTAAGAATTGTTTAGAACGAAGTATGACTCATCTTTTTGATTTAACCATTTCAACGATTCACGACTCCTCTTCTTAGTCATAAAAATGCACGAAGATGACCTTAGAAGATCAATTGTGATATGGTATCTTAATCATTAAGATGATCACAACAACTGATACTAAAGTACTCTCCCATCTTTCCAGATTTGAGAAACTTTTATCCTTCT